GTTCAGCGAAAGGAACTGTTCTATAATGAGGCTTGGCCTGGACCAATCCCAGTAGAATTAATTTTGTGCTGTAGGACACCTAGATAAATTAGTTTTGCTTTAAATATTGAGTCCTAAAAGAGTTAAAAGAGGGAGAATATCAATCAATAATTTTTAGATTAACTACTTTGTATATGACAAAACAAAATTAACTTTGGCATTATAACCCCTTCTTCTGGCATTTCAGATGAACCCCAAGTTTAAAATAAATAATTGGAGATTTTAAACCAAAGCAAACATGTGCATGTGCTTGTTGGCACAGCATATCAACTCACTTTCTGGTTTGTAAAAAGAAAAGATTACTCATATTTTATAAAATTATAGCTATGTTTACTTTTAGTTATTAAAATCTGAGAATTAAGAATGCCAAAAATATAGAAATAAATATAGAAATATTTTGGGGGGGGGTAATGGAAATACTGAGGTAGTTAAGCTTCGGAATTAAATGAAAAAATAATATCTCAGTTGTTAGATTCCCAAATTCTATTTTAATTAATTCCCTCAATGTTTACCCATTAGTTTCCTTTTATAAAATTGATTTCTATTGAAATATTTGTGCAGAATTAAAATCATGTCTACAAATAACAACAAATTTAAACTAAAACTCCCTTGTATTTTAATGGCTTTTTCTGGTTAAATATCCACCAAAAATGGTAAGTACAAGATTCATTTCCATGGGAGATGAAATCAGGCTTTTAACCTGGCCAATCGCCCATATAAACAATCTTCAGTGTTATCTGGTCATCATTTGGTAATTAAAATGGGAAATCACAACCATACTGAATTTACACCCATGTGCCAAAAAGTTATTTAGCAGATAACTACAGATAGAGGAAATATCTCTTTAACAGACTCTTACGAATACATCTACAGGAAGCATCGGGCTTTTAAACAGCCGTAAAAAACAAGCAGCAGTTGAACAGTGGCACCCAGAGGTGAAAAGTATATTACTCCTCGAGATTTATATGGTTAACCACGATCTGTTTTTGAGCCATCCTTTTTGTCACTTCTAGGTTTTTCACTAGTAACATGTCAAAAATCATTTTTTCTAAGTTGCATATTGAAATGCCACATTTTAATAAATAAAATAAATGTTACATTTTTAAAAAACCACTACTTGTGGATTAAATGGCATATCAATTTCCTTCCTTCAAAACAATAAACAAACCAGCTGAACACCAGGCCAGTACTTTCCAGAACTGAATCTAACGCTCACTCGCCTATGGCCTATCAAAATTATTAGCTAAAACATTTTTAAGAAATGGTTCTGCAACTACTACACGGTTTCCATACACCCCAAATTGTGTTTTTACTCAAAATGTTTATGTCAAAATACTGCATATTCCTGAACCAAAATTATAACCCTGGGGAGATTTTTCAGAAATCCCTACCAACCCCCCACCCCCCACCCCACCCCCTCCATTATTATAACAGCAGGGGATGGGAGTAAGTGCTGTGCAGAGATGAGAAAAGGAAAGAAGAATAAGGTCTTATTCCACGGAAAGTTTAAATAAAGTCTATTTTGACCAAAATGAAAATGTGCCTGATTTTTAATTAAAGAAGCTCCATACCTTTGAACCTGCCAACTAGCAGCTGCACTTAGCATTTGGCTGGCGCTGGCTCCTAAACTAAACTGCAGAAAACACCTCCTCCTGGGCCTAATCACCTGCAGGGAGCCTCAAATAAACCTTCGTTTGTGGGGCCAGCATAGGTCAGGTTTTTTAAGAGCCTCAGAAGAACAGTCTTATTTTCGCTCCTGAGCTGAAATGCACAGATGTACTTAGTAGAGAGGGTTTTTCCAGGCCGCTATGCCTAATCTACCACTGCTTTTCATCTGTTACTGAGTTTCCATTACCTTTTGTCAGACGTTCTCTCCAAGATCCCGCTGCTTCTTTTTAATCACCTAAGGAGCAGCACTGATGTCACAAGCTCCAGAAGAAGGCTCATCCTTTCTTATCTGCATCTTCAGCCTAATGGTGAGAAATGAGCTTCCATATACTTGAACAAGGCAGGGAAATGCTGCCAAAGTCATTATCCAACCACTTAGAATTGGAAGTGATCTGTCCCTTTTTTAGAAGAATGCTAATAAAGTTTAAAATAATTTTACAAGGCCTTCAGCATTTCATGCGCAAAATAAAGGAAATGGCCCAGTGCTATTCAAAAGAAAAATAAAATATCTCACTTCCTACTATCTGAAATCTGCATCAGAATATAGTCTCCATTCCGCATATCATTCGTCTGACAGAGCTAAGAGAGGCTTATGTCTGCGTGAAAATTGGTATTAAAATAATCTCTCCTTTTTGATAGCTTCTTCTTGTCTTTTTTTCCCCCCCTTTCCCATAAGTAGCAGCATCTGCATCAATATGTGGACATTCAGGGGTACCTTCTATGCGGCATCTAAGTCGCTAGCAAGCCGTTTGCCCGTGAATGGGCCGTGAACTGCAGCCACATGCCTGTGTGCCTGCTTGTGGCTAAGTCGCAGAGAGCACAACTACAGGCTTTCTCGGGCTCAAACCCGCACCGTCATTGCTCATCTTTGGTGATTGCATTATTACAGTAACAGCGTGAAGGAGCATCAGACTTACAGCATTTTGGAGCAGACCTTAAGGACGCTGCTCCTCATGGACCATATTGATCTCTCCAGCCATTCTTCGAAACCCCACAGCCGTTCCCAAATCTGCGCCCAGCGGAGCCAACACGCAGCAGTAGATCCGGGCGCCATCTAGTGGATTCTCCCGATCTGGGGGCGTCGGCAGGAGATGGTGGGGTTATATGAAGATTCTGGGAACAATACCTAAAGCCACCCTGGAAAATAAAACGTTCTTCAAGCTACAATAGAAGCAGTGGGGAAGGAGGCTTATCTAAAGACAAAGGGAAAGAGGAATAGATACATGCACTCAAACGGCTCTTACAGGAAGTTCACAACTTATTTTTCAATATGAATGTTAGTGTCAAAGTGCCCCATTATTTATATATTTACTATGAGAAGGAAAATGTGGAAAGCTTATTTTGCCAAAATATTGCCACTTGTCTGTGATCTCCTAATTGCTTATCTCCACAAACAATATTTCTGTATGGTCCGAAGCCTCTGCCGCAGTAGCGGAGACTATTAAATATTGAATAAACAGCTATGACATACGTGGATGGCTGTCTCTCTGTGAGTAAATGCTCCGGTTATTCTTGCCTTTTGATGAGCTAAATATATCAACAATAACTGACATTTACTGAGCTTTACTAAAGCAGGCTTAAGTGCCTATACATGTTCTTATTGGATGCTCACGGCAGCCCTACGAAATAAGTACTTTTGCTATCTTTATTTTATGCTCAGGAAAGCTGGCTCTGAAAAGTTAAAAAGTTCACCCAGTTGACACAGGTAGTAAGAGACAGAGCTAGAACCGGATCTCAGTCTGTCTCCAGGGCCTGGCCTCTGAACCACTACACAAACTGCGTCTAACCTCTGAGTTATTGAATATATGGCACACTATGATCTTCTTACTGGTTGTTATATTTCAATGATTCACTTTACAACAAGTAAATAGTTATCATTTATCCCATGCAAAATCTGTTATTTAGATAGCTGTTAAAAGTATTCAAGTTGTTCTGAATTTTTACCATTTTTGTTCTTCAAAGAATGAGCTTACTATAATCAAAAGATTTGCACGGAGGAAGGAAGAGAAATTACTTTGCTGATCAAAGGACTAATGTGAACTGACTGCCTTTAGCTAAGACTGCAACAATGGAGTGGAAGAGCTAGGGGAAATGTGAGATCTGCTAATAACTGTTTCTTTGTTTTTTCAGTTCACCTGACCTCTTCAAGCATTTTAATTTAGAATTGCTCCTCACAGCCCTCAGGGTTGGTCTCATGAGTAAGCAAATCAGGAACCTCACAGGAACCACCTGCCGGGGCTTATTTCAAGAGAATTGGAAAGGACTCCCAACCCCCTAAAATATTTAAAGATGTTTAAAATTGCTTTCTTAGAGCTTCTTGCCTTTGACTTAATTGACAAAGGGACATTAGTCACAATTGTTCAAAACTGGAATAAACCACAAAATGGATAAATAACATGATACATTCATACAATGAAATATTATTCAGCATTTAAAATGAATGCACTAGGCAGGGTCGGCGGGGGGTGGGGGGGCGTTGAAAGCTTCATATTCTCTCTCTCTCTCCCTAAAAAAAATAAAATAATGGCGCGTGCGCACACACACACACACACACACACACACACACGCACACACACACGCACACACGCACACACGACAAAATATAATTTGGAGCAAAAAAAGCAAGACACAGAATACACAGAATTCCACTTACATACAATACCAAAGCAAGTAAAACTAAACTGTTGCTTAGGGATGCATAATTCAGATGGGAAAACTACAGAGAAATGCAAGGACATGCGGCCACAAAAGTTGGGCTAGTGGTTGCCTCTGAGAGGAGACTGGAACAGGACAGGAGACACAGGCAGCTTCTGGAGGTTCAGCAGTGTTTCATCCAACTGTTACACTCATCTCGTGTTCACGTTGCTGTATGTTTTATTTCACAATAAAAATGTAAAATGAGCACATCCAATGGTCATTCAAAAATGCATCAGGAAGAACACAGAAAGCTCTATCCATCACTTATGTTTTGGTGAGAATAAGTTTATTAGCCCTATGATTGCAGGCAGACTTGGGAGGAGAGGAGAACAGAGCAAGCATGAAGATTAAATTTTAGAAGAGGGTAATGGTTGGATTGTGAGCTCTGGAATCAGACAGACCTGGACTTGAACTAGAGGCCTGCTGCTTGCCAACTGTGGGCCATGGACTGATGTATAAACCTCTCAAACCTTCCACTCTCCACCTATAAAATGAAGATTAGAATAGGCCCTGCGTTAGAGGATTATTATGAGACTTACGAAACGTACTGGTTTTCATTAATTGCCCAATAAATGTCTTTTTTTTTTCTTTCCCAGAGATTGGAATTGGAGGAGAAAATCACCACAGGCAGTAGTGGAAAAAGTGAAAGCTCAGAGACTACCCTCACTGTCTGTATTTTCCACTCCTCCCTTGTCACTTCCCCACTGGCTTCTTCACAAACCACTCACCTGAGATTGCTCCAGCAAAGGCCACCAGGGACCTTCTTGTTACTACACCCAATGAACATCTTTTTCTACATCCTTTGACATTGTTGGCTGTCCTTATCCCTTGAAACTTTTCCTCCCTTGGTTTCTTCAATACTCTAAGCCAGTGGTTCTCAACCGTCTGGCCCTTTAAATACAGTTCCTCATAAAATTATTTTCGTTGCTACTTCATAACTGTAATGTTGCTACTGTTATGAATCGTAATGTAAATATCTGATATGCAAGATGGCCTTAGGCGACCCCTGTGAAAGGGTCGTTCGACTGCCAAAGGGGTCTCGACCCACAGGTTGAGAACCTCTGCTCTAAGCTGTTTCTTTCTTGCCAAACTCCTACCCCTACTCATGGACAGGCCCTTGTCATGTCCCTCCTGTCCTCCATAGCCTCCTAACCGGTTCTCTCCAGTGTGGTCACTCCCCACACTTTAGCCAGAGAGTTTGTCCTAACATGTAAATCTCATCATGCCTCTTCTCCAGAGCCTTCGTATGAACCGCTGTGATCCTTAGCCCTGGAGCAGCTGATCTGTCTGTCTGTCCTCAGGCTCCTCAATCGCCATGCTAACCTACCCAAACTCATGTAGATTTTCTTGCCTTTATACCACCTGTTCTCTCTGCCTGGAAGGCTCCACCCTCCCACCCATCCCTCAACACTTGGCCTACCTCACTTACACATCTTCAAAACTCAAGAGAAATCTCTTTCCTACCTACTACCCACCCCTTCCTTTGCAATCAATACAATCCCTAATTATTCTTGAACCACTGCATTGCTTGTGTGATGACCTATGTCCTCAATAAGACAGTCAATTCCTTAAAGACAGGTACTACTTCCTGCTCGTCTTCGTATACCACCACCCAACACAGTGACCAACAAACACCGAGGTAAGTGAATTGATGAATCCGACAAATAATCGATTCTATCCCAGCTTTACAGAACTACCATTGCCATCTCTTCTACTGCAACTTTCTCACTCACTCCCTTTTCAAAAGGGAAAAAGAGTTATGTGTCATATCCTGGTCCTTTAAGCCCTGTCTTCTAACATTTCTTAGTCTTGTCATAATAATTATATTTTTCCAGATTATATTTAACTAATGAGCCACTTTCTTCAAAAAGGAGAATCTCATCACAATAAGATTATTATGACAAGCTTTTTCCACACTTTGTTCTTCATGCCCAGAATGACATTGGTAAGATAAGACATTTTAAAAGTCAATAGCACTTATTTTGAAGTTTAAACTATCATGTTTAAAAAAAAAAAAAGTCATTTCCTTAAACAGGAAATGTATTAATAATGGCACAAAAGACAGTACAAGTCATGCTATAGAATACAATGCTTCCCTTCAAACAGAAAATAATGTTCTTATCCTCAAGGGTAGTAATTCTTTACCTTAGTTGTTTAAAGAATAAATGTAGGAGGGGGAAAATCTGGGCACCCTTCATCTTGCATTTGCATATATTTTGCTGAGTTATGATCATGTGATTTAACTAAAGATTTAAGTGGAAACTATCTGAAATTTAAATTCCAACAATGCTTTCTAGTTCTCACTAATCAAATAAGTTCTTTTTACTTTATACATATATTTTTACACCCACATTTGCAAAACTATTATATTTTTGCCATTCATCCATTCTATTAAGCATCATAACTCAAAAAAATGCTCTGCAAAGAATGACTTGTTAAAATACATTTTTACAGACTCCCAAAGTTTTTAGATTTACTTACAGAACAGGAATTTAAAATGGAAACACTTTTGGCATCATTTAATTTATGTTTTATTTGCGATTACTTGGGATTAAATAGTATGATGATGGGTTCCAAGCAATGTAATTATACATGGATCCAAATTCCTGAGGTGTTACAAACAGTATATGTTCATTTCCTATTAGCTAAAAAACATATAACCTTATATTCTGTTTCAGTTCACTGCCTAACTCATTTCACCAACAGGTCTGATTTTCCCATTCTTACCTAAATAAAATGTCCCCATTTGATTATAGTGCAAAACTTTAGTTTGGGTTTCACCAAAACACGTCAGAATTAATGAGTTTAGGTAAAACATTCCACTCTTTTTCCAAAGTAGTTAACTAACAGATTTCCTGGAGCCAATGGATGCTGGTATAGTCTCTCTGTGTGGACTGAGTCAGTTCATCAAGTGAGCATATGATTGAGGAAATGGTTATGTGAAGATTGTAAACCCAATGGAAGCCCTTATTTTCCAGGCTCAGGATATAAGTTGATCTCTGGAAACAAATGGCTCTTTACTTGCTAAACTAACTTTCTAAAATGGGACACTCCCAAGTCTCTGAAACTGTTGCTTTACTTTTGATTCAGCAGCCTCAGGATCCAGGAGGTAGATTACTCCCTTGAAAATAACTTTGTAAAATAAGTTTTGAGCCCAGCTGGTGTTGCTCAGTGGTTGAGCTTCGACCTGAACCAGGAGGTCACGGTTCAATTCCCTGTCAGGGCCAGTCAGGGCACTTGCCCAGGTCATGGGCTTGATCCCGGTGTGAGGCATGCAAGAGGCAGCTAATCAATGATTCTCTCTGATCATTGATGTTTCTCTTTCTTTTTTTAAATATATTTTTATATTTTTATTGATTTTCAGAGAAGGGAGAGGGGGAAAGAGAGAGAGAGAGAGAGAGAAACATCAATGATGAGAGATAATCATTGATTGGCTGTCTCCTGCACAACCCCCACTGGGGATTGAGCCCACAACCCAGGCATGTGCCCCTGACTGGAATCGAACCTGGGACCTTTCAGTCTGCAGGCTGATGCTCTATCCACTGAGCCAGATCAGCTGGGGCCATCAATGATGCTTCTATCTCTCTTTCTCTCCCTCTCCCTTCCTCTCTGCAATCAATAAAAGATACATATGTATATTTTTTAAAAAAAGAAGCAAAGAACAATCAGGGGGAAAAGGAGACATATGTAATACTTTGAACAATTAAAAAAAAGAAGTACATTCTTTAAAAAATACTGTTTTGAGGAATGATTTAGAAATGCTTATTTTCTGCTCTTTTTTTTTTTTTTTTTTTTTTTTGAGGAAAGAGGGTTCAGTTCTGGGTTGGTGACAGAAATAGAGAAGATGGAATTTTATTTTTCCATAAAGCTAGAGGTTGCAAAAATACCTCAACATGAAAAGGCACATCTTTTTTTATGGGAATTCTTTAAAAATTAGAGGCCCCGTGCACAAAATTCATGCATGGGTGTGGTCCCTAGGCCTGGCTGGAGATCGAAGCGCAAGCATCTGGCGTGGAAGGGCAGGTCTCAGCTGACCTCTGGGCCGTGGGCAGCACCTGGGCCCCCGGGCCCCTGGGTGCCCCTCCCCCCCTACCTGAGTCATGGAGCCTGAGTCCCCACGCAGAGATGTGGTGAGCGTGGCTGGATGTCGCAGGCCAGGGCGCAGTGTGGGACCCTGTGCCACCCATGGCGCCGCATGGAAACCGGGTAGGCAGCAAGCTCTCTCCTGGCTGGGCTCCTGCAGTCCCCGCAGCTGTGGCCCCGCTCACCCGAAGAGGCCAAGCGGGTGTGGGGCGGGCTCCTGGGAGCCCTGGTGTCCCAGGGGAAGGTGGCAGGGGGAGTGACAGTAAGCTCAGTAGACACCCCACATTCTCACTGCACCTCCGTCCCCATCACCCCCGCCCCCAGGTAGCCTGTGAGAGGTCACAGCACGCACCCAGGTGCCGCAGGAGGTTGGTCACCGACACCCACTCCCAGTTCCCCGTCCCAGCCCAGGGCGCAGCCCCAATCGGGCAATCAGGGTCTGCTGGCTGCTGGTCACCATCTGGGGAGCGATTGGTGAGGTGATTGGGCCCCTGCTCGCATCCGCCTTGGCCTGGCACCACCCACTCACCTGCTCCACCATCCTGCCACGGTCCCACTCTCGTTGGATCCCTTCGGGGCTGGCAGCACCTCCACTGCCGCCTGTTAACAGTGCCGCGTCACCGACACCCGCCATGTTCTGCACCACCCCCTGGTGGTCAGTGCATGTCATAGCAAGCGGTCAAACTCTCAATAGAACTCCGGGTTGAGGGGACAATTTGCATATTAGGCGTTTACTATATAGGATATTTTAACCAAAAGCCAAGCAAGAGAAAACATGATGACATCAAATCCACCTTTTTAATAAACTTGGATTGGTTTGAATTGCAGAGGGTTGGGTGCAGAATTCACTCCACTAAGTTGATTTAGTGAAAACTGAGAACTATGCCCTTGAGCACAGTGTGGATGTAAGAATGACTCACTCTTCCACTGTTTCTTTTTTTCTTTTGTTTTGTTTTGTTGTTGTTTTTATTAATTTCTTTTTTTATTGTTTTAAGTATTACATATATCTCCTTTTTCCCCATTGCCCCCTCCCCAGCCACTCCCACCCTCTACCCCCACCCCACCCCCCCAGGACTTCCACTGTTTCTTGAACTGGTTTGTGGGCGAAGATACGTGTTACTTTGTCTGGTGTGATTTGAAAAGGATTTAAGGAATCCAGAAGTTCCTCATCTATTCAAAAACAAAACAAAACAAAATGATTTTTTTTTCTGCCCCAAATGAATGTGTGGAATTTCACCATTCTATTAAAGTAAACAAAAGAGTGAGTCTATATATTCCCAGGGGACAGAGGCTGTCACTGCCTCACAATCCCATCCCCAGGAAGAGATCAGGGCCTGGCGCAGAGGCTGATCAATAAATATCTGTTGAATAAACACGTTTACTGACATTTTTATGCAAAGGAGGATTTTTAAATGTTGTTTGTTGCTTTTTTCTTATTAGATCTCTTTCTAATGCATAAATGCTAGAGTTTAAAGAATTGAAAAGCTAAGAAAGGGAAACTTTGGGGTAAATAAAGTGTATTTATTCATTCAGAATGGAGATGAGGGCAAATTTCTGACTTGTAACAATTTTTTTGGCCAGCCTGGTTACAATGTAATAAATGAAGAGGAGAGAATAAGTGTTCGCTTCTAACATATGAATTTGGTTACTTAATAATGGAGTACATTCTGTCTTTAGT